TGGTGGTGGAGGATCCTCCATTGAACATTGTCTACGATGGAGATGAGATGCCGACAATTTTTGCCACTGAGTCTAAAGACGAAGCAGATTATATGATGGAGAATAGGAAGAATGAGGTGATGGTGGACCATATGGGATTGGATTACATATTCCTGTAGTTTGTTATCCTCGAAGAAATCAGGAAGAAGAAGAAGAAGAGGGAAGAGAATCGAGTGCAGGCTCAGGTGGTGAGTGCTCCAATGGTAAATTTTGCTGCCAATGTTGCTGATAAGGGAGTGGTTGTTCCCCCTGTTGGTGAGGAACCTATTCCTGATGGAAAGAATGTTATGGCTACTCTTGAAAGGGTGCCGTTAGTTGTGGGGTCCAAGAAGATTAGAGCCAAATTTTCGGTCCCTACTCGTTCTTCAGCCAGATTGGCCTCAAGGGGTCCATGTGTGGTTATTAATAAATCGTAGGTGATTGATAATACACCGTTGGAGATTAGCAGTTATGAACCTTTATCTGCATCGGAGTCCTCTTCTCGTTCATCCTCTATGGAGATTGCAATGTTATTGGAGCATCACTATTTTGGGCCACTTCTAGATGGTCCAGGTTTGTCATCTTCTCCTAATTAATGATTATTCTGAACTGGAATGTAAGGGGGTTGGGGGATTCTAGTAGGAAAATAGATGTCTTATTTCTAGTTAGAAAATATAGTCCTGATGTTTTAATTTTACAAGAGACTAAGCTTCCTAACCCTACTGTGGTTGGCGCTAGGGAAGTTTGGGGACAGGGAGTTGTTTGTTTTGATGGGGTAGATTCTATTAGGCCCTCGGGTGGTTTGTGGGTGCTTTGGAACCCAAATGTGATGTGATTAAGGGGAACAGGTTTTTGGGGGTGTTGTTTAATGGACCTAGTATGGGTTTCTCTTGGGGTCTTGTTAATGTTTATGAACCTAATCTACTAGCTCTAAAGAAAGGCTTTTTGAATGATATTTTTGGTGTTCTTGCTGTGTATGACCTTCCTTTTTGTATAGGTGACGATTTCAACTTAATTCATTAGCCTGAGTATTCGTCTTCGAGATGTTCGATTAACTCTTCTATGCAGTGGTTCAATGGTTTTATTGAAAGCAATAGATCGTTTAATATGCCTATGTTGGGAGCTATATATTCGTGGACGAATAATTCACTTAATGATTTGATAATGACAGGAATTGATAAATTCTTAGTTTCTAAAGAGTGGCTGGAAGATTTACCCCTTGCCTCAGTAAAGGCTCTCCCGAGGTTATCCTCTTATCACTGCCATCTTTTGCTTTGTTCTAGTAATCCTCTAGGTGGGCTTAAGCCTTTTAGAATGGATATATATTGGTTAGAGGCGGAAGGGGTTGCTAATTTGATTAGAAGCACATGGGAAAATACAGTCGCTTATGGTTCCTTAGAGTTTCATATTTATAAGAAGCTACTTAATGTTAAGTATAAATTGATTGAGTGGAAAAAGTTGAATAAGAACCAGTTGAGAGGAAAAATTGATAGTTGCTTACAAGATATTCAGGTTTTAGATACGGCTATTCAGGAGAGTGGAGTAATCACGGATGTGGTTAGAATAGCCAGAGAAGAGAAGATTCATACTCTGAATGAATGTCGTAGACTTGAAGAAGTGTATTAGCGGCAAAGATCACAAGTGAAATGACTTAGAGAGGGAGATTTAAATACTAAATTTTTTATGTCATTGCTAGTGCTGGTAAGAGGCAGAATGATATCTCTGGTCTGACAGTTCAAGGGATTGAGGCAGATGATAGGCAGGGAATTGATCATGCTATTATTAAGTACTTTAAAAAAGAATTTGTATTTGAAGTGTGTTTTACCCTCACTATGGGTCGTATTCCTTTTAGGGTGCTCTCTTCGACTATGATGGCTCAATTACGTCTCTCTTCGACTATAATGGCTCAGTTAGAAGTAGCAGTAACAATGGAAGAACTAAAAAAAAACAGTTTTTGCCTTAGCCGGTGATAAAGTACAAGGCCTGGACGATTTTCCCATGTGCTCTTTCCATAGATTTTGGCAATTGGTCTCAAAGGAACTTTTAGAAATGGTTAAAAGTTTTACGATGCATGGTGATCTTTTTAAGGGAGTGAACTCGACTTTTGTTGTTTTAATTCCCAAGAAGTCTATAATTGCTGAATTATCTTGATATTTAACCTATTGTTTACTCACGAGTCATTATAAGGTTGTGGCTAAAGGTCTTACAAGAGAGATTGAAGGTAGTTGTGGATTTTGTTATCTTTGGTCCTCAAGCGGCTTTTGTCCAAAATCATATTATAACTGATAGCGTATTGGTCGCCCAAGAGTGTATCCATTCTCGAGTTAAGAGTACGGAGCTACTGGTTTTGTTAAAGTTAAACATGAAAAAGTTTATGATAGGGTAGAGTGGAGCATTTTGTTGGAAATTATGAAGATGATGGATTTTGGGGTAAACTAGATAAAGTGGATTTTTGGGTGTTTATTCTCAACCCATTTCTCAGTATTAATCAATGGATGTCCACAAGGTTTCTTAGAGCCTCTAGAGGACTTAGGCAAGGTGACCCCTTGTCACCATTTTTGTTCACATTATATAAGAAGTATTTTAGTCTTATGATATGGAATGTGGTGAATAGGGGTATTTTTCAAGGATTTAAGATTGGTCAGGAAGGTCCAAAATATCTCATTTACAATATGTTAATGATACCCTTGTCTTCAGTAAGGCTGATAAGGATCAGATTGAAAACATTAGAAGCTTTTTATAATGTGTGAGATAACTGTCAGTTTGAAAGTAAACTTCTCTAAAACTTCTTTGGTGGGCATAAATTGTGATGAACAACTTGTTAGTGAATTGGCTGGGGTTCTTGGATGTAAGGTAGAGCTATTCCCTATCACCTATCAGGGTATGCCAATTTCCAATACTTGGCTGACCATCTCGGTTTAGGAAGTGATTCAACGTGTTCAAAATAAACTTGATTTATGGAAGCCAAAATATTTGTCTTTGGGAGGTCGAGTCACTTTGTTAAGGTCTTGTATGGCTAATCTTCATATTTATCAAATGTCTCTGTTGAAGATGCTTAATGGTGTTGCAAAGGGATTAGAAAAGATGATGAGAGATTTTCTTTGGGGATCTGGGGGGAGGGAGAGGAAAAAAAATTCTATCCTCTGAAATGGGATAAAGTATGTATGTCGAAAGTTGAGAGAGGTTTGAGAGTGAGGAAAATTTTCTTTTATGAATGAGGCTTTGTTGTGCACATGGTGGTGGCGCAGCTTATTCCTTAAAGATCACGTATTGTGTAAAGTTCTTATGGATAAATATGGAATAGGATGTAATTGCATGTGGATAGGAGGAGGGAGAGACAGTGCATCTAGATCAATGTTTCGGAGGGATATCTTTTTATGTAGGCCTTATCTTCTAAGAAACATTAGGTGGTGTGTGGGAGATGGATCTTCTATCTCCTTTTGGCATCATAAGTGGATGGGCGATGCTCCATTGAAGTATACTTATCCAAAGCTCTTCTCTAGAGCATCTAATCCTCAAGCAACAATTGCAAGTAGTGTTGTGAGATTGGGTCAACAGGTAAGTTGGAACTTACAATTTCTTTATAATAGAATCCTGGGCATTATGCTTTCTCAACTAACCGCACTGATGACCAATTTAGAAGAAGTGTATATTGCTAGAGACATACCGGATGAGTTGGTATGGGATTTAGAATGTAATGGCCTGTTTTTTGTGAAAGCTATGTATGCTCTCTTAATCAATGATCGTTGGCATCCTTCTTTGCCACAAATTGCGAAGGTGTGGAAGTGGCCTATACCACATAAGGTTCAATGTTTTATTTGGCTAGCGGGTCAGAATAAGATTTTGACGGTTGACAATTTAATTAAAAGAGGAAGATTTCTACCAAATGTATGCTTAACCTGTAAAGTTGATGGGGAGTCTGTTGCACATCTATTTGTTCATTACAGTTTTATTTCAAATTTGTGAGGCTTCTTAAATTTGTTGGGAATGAGTATTGCCTTCCCCCATATTGTTTGCGGGTAATCACAAAGATGGCCTTTCCTTTACTCCCAAAGCTAGGGAGGGTTATTTGGAAGATTATCAGCGGGGTTGTGTTGTGGGAAGTATGGAAGGAGCACAACAGAAGAACCTTTGAAGGGAAGATACCGGCATGAGTAGTGTTAAGTTTTACACAGTGCTTGGAGCTAGCTATGGAAAGGGAATCTTAGAGATAAATGTGCGACTTAATCTTGTAAATCTGGTTTTTTCTAATTTTGCTCAGTATAGGTTAGTTGGAAGATGGAATCCACCTGTATAGTGTTGCTTCAAAGTCAATTTTGATAGTAATTCATTAGGCAACCCTGGACTTGCAGGGATAAGAGGTGTGGTAAGGGATTGGAATGGACTGGTGATTTTTGGTTACGCAGAGTCAATTGGTGTGACAACAGTGTACTATGCTGAATTTAAGGCTTCGTTGGTTAGCCTTAGGTACTTTATCTCAAAAAATCTGGGCATGCATGTTTTTGGTGGAAGGAGATTCTATGAATGTAGTGAAATGTTGTGGGTGTGAGCAACGAATCCCGTGGGAGTTCGGATGTTTATGGTGTCAGGTGATGGATATGGTGGGTGGGTTGTCCATATTTTTAGAGATGCTAATTCCTTGGCTGATCTTCTCATCTTGAGAAAAGAGGAGTTGGTCGTGAGTCTATTGTTTGTGCAGATGCTGTTATCTATGCTAACAGAAATTAGCAATAAAATTTATTAACCTTTTTCAAAAGAAGAGACGTGAATCAAAATAAAATTTGGGTCGAAAAAGGTCACAATTACCCCCAAGCCATTAGACACAAACTAGTCATCCAAATTTACATTTGGTAGATTGTGGTGCAGGCGACTTTTGTGTGAAAAAGATCACTACCTCATTGTATACAGTAGAATGTTTAATATATGAAAATGCATAATTTCCTAAAATATTGTGCATGGCTAGTTGTGGGAGGGTCATGTCATGACATGAATTCGGGAAAAAACATTGAGATGCACATTCATTAGTATTTTTTTTTTTCTTGTTCTTTTTCTTTGAATGCTCCACATTCATCAGAAATTACATGAGCATATTTGTACAATATCTTTAAGGGGGAGGAATAATAAACAAAGAAATCAATACTCAATACACAAACGAGAAGACACAAGTGTACCAGACTATTAAATATCTCTGAGGTACATAACATGTAATGTTTTTCTGGGACCGGAGAGAGGGTTTGGGTCGTAGGGAGGGAGAAAGTCATTGTGTTTGGGACGTAGAGATAGATAGATAGATCGATATATAGAGATTATGGATCTGGTCTGTAGAGTAGTGTGCTCACAATTTATTTTTTTTGGGTAATTTCGTGGGGGAAGACAGACCCTACTATTGTTTCAAATAATTTAAGAGTTAATTTTTTAAAGTATTAGTAAAATGATGTCAATGGGAATGAAAATCACAATATAGTGATTACGATGTAGGGCCGCTCACACTTTCCATGACAGCGTGTTGCATGTCTTCTGAAGGTTTCCAGTGGCGCTTCCTTTGGTTGATAAACCAATTGTTTATTTGTTTGGGATCCAACCCTGTTGATTCTGCCAACTCCACCTTGTCTGATTCCTATACGTTTCAAAAAAAGAGTTAAAACAAACAAATTTTTCATTTGTCATTCATGTTAAGAAATTGACTGACCTCCTAATGATCTCCCAAATTTATCCTCGGGACTTTTTCCCATTCATCAAGAGGTGCTCTCTCTCTCTTTTTCTCTCCCCGTGTAATTTAATAATGATGAAGGTTAGAAACATCAATCTATAACTAATTTATCGGGTAGACATATCTATGCATTTAGGGCGTGTTTGATAACAGGAAATCAGGGAAAAAAAGAAAGAATGGAGTGGAGGAAGTCAGGAAGAGAAGGAAAGAATGGAGTGGACGACCATTTTGGTTAACCCAAAAATCCCATATGCACCAACATGAAGAAAATTGTATAACTAAGGACCACATAATTTTTGAAATAAAAATAGTTTATAAATTACCGATGGATAAGGCCACTTATAGTGGGCGTTCCACCAATCTAGCAGCCTGTGTCTTGCCTCCATTGGTAGCTTCCCTTTACTCCTCTTCTTCAAAAACTCCCTCTTCAAGCCGCTTAGGTAGCCACTGTATCTCCTAAGAAGCTGCTCTTTTATCTCTTTTTGATCATTATTATTGCCACCCTTTGTGTCTTTTCCACCCCAACTTGCTTCCTCTCCTGATGATCCCACCCCTTCCTCTGCTCAAAATTTGATTAAGAGTATTCATTTCATTAGATGCAAAATTGAAGACTTTAACAATTACATATAGTGAAAAGTACGACAAAAAAAAAAGACCCTAAAGAATTGGAAAGGATTTGGGAACAAGGGTGAAGAGCAATGTTATATCCACTAATGAAATATATCAGAATATTTTTAAGAAAGATGAATTATTTGACATCCCACCAATTTGCAACTATTCCAACTCAAGATCATTATTATTTTTTAACATATATTTTGAAATTGAATCAAAAGATATGGTTAAGGTGTTAAATTATTCATCTTTCATGGGTAATTTGATAAATTTCTCTATCCAATATGAATTTGTTGACTTAAGATGAGCATTCATAATCAAATGCATTACATTCCAGTTCTGTTAGGGGTATGTAGAAAAACACTAAAAAGCAGCATTTTGTACCTTTTTTGAAGAGAATATTATTTAAATGGTTGAACCACCTTATAAAATCATTAAAGTGATCAAATGGTCACATTTAACGCTATAATATTTTCTTTTCACTAAAGTACCTCCAAAAGAAATTTATTAAAAAATATCCAAATTACTCCTATTTAAAGTTGGGATCCCTAGACAAGGAGAAGCATTTTGGTAATTTTGCATTGCGAAAGTGGCTTAAGCCAAATGATGTAATTGCATCTACTTGTGTAGACTTAGTCAAAATAAGCATTTTTAAATTTAAGCTCCTAAACCTAAACAACAAAGGCAAGAATCGTTATTTCGCTCGAGCTACTTAATTCAAGCAAAATGATGATATGATCCCTTCAGGTCAGATACAAAGACTGAAATATTTCTAATGAAAGAAAATGAAGTTTTAGTTTCCCAACCCTAAACAATTTGGGGGAATATTTCAATTTTATTGGGCAATTTAATTCAAGAATAATGATGAAATTACACTTCTTGTTCAGGGTTAGAAACTTAGAACAAGAATGCACAAGGAAAATAATATGTTCAGGATCCTAAACAACTAAAATCGCATTAGTCATTTAGCTCATGTTGTCTTAGCTTATATCAAATGATGTAAATACCGCCTATTATTTTGTATTAAGCACCCAAAGCAAGAGATTTTAATGTATATGGAATGTTCATGATTCGTAATCCTTAAATACAGATTATACTCACAACTGGCTCGGGGTACTTTTTTTTTTTTTTTCTAATTTGGGTACTTATACTTATGACAGTCCTTTAAACTTGTCTCAGAAATTTTTATAGAGCTAATGTTCCATCGCTACCTTCAATGTTCAAATACAACCGCTCAAAACCGAGTCAAATTTAGTTCTGAAATATTGTTTCTTGACCCGCATTTTGAACCTGGTGGACCTGCCCGAGTCCAGTCGTGACTCATTCAACCTGGCTCTATCGAGTATGCTGAAGGTGTGAAGTTGCGTATTTATTTTAAAAAAAGATTGTTAAATAAAAGTAAAACTTAGAGATTTATTGGGCTTTGCCAATTGGTTAAGGTGTTGAAGGTTGCAACACAACTTCCTAAGCTTAAATTGTGTGAAAAAATAATAATAATTGAATATTTAAATAACAAATCAATAAAAGTAAGTTGCACATTCAAACCCGTTGGAATACACAGTTTGGGTGTTAGGAACCTCATAATGGCTTGCAAATCTAGTTCCACAATTAATCCATCACCAGAACTTTTTTCAATTAATTGGGGTTGGTTGCACAAATCCTAAATTGTCATTCTACATATTAATGGTCATACTCTAAGAGAGGTCATAAGTCCCTATATTTTTTTCTCACTACTTCTAATCATGGCCTTTTAGGCCTATCCCTTACCTTTTTTTAGCCTTCCACTCGATTCACACCTCCTAATAGGTGTTGTACGAGGTATGTGTTGTACATAACCAGTCTATCTAGGTCTACTTTCTTTCATCTTATCGCCTATTTATACCACACGAAATATATTCATTTCGAATTCTATCCCTTCTTTTCTTGTCACTCATTCATCTCAACATCAACATCTCAACTACACTCAACCTATAGATATGTTGTTTCTTGATCACTGAACAATCTACCCCATAAAGCATAGTTGGTCTTACAGTTGTCCTATAGAACTTGCCCTTCAACTTTATTAATATGCGACGACAATATAAAACTCCGGTTGCACATTTCTATTTCGTCTACCCAACTCTAATTTTATGTACAACATCTTTCTCAATCTCCCCATTTTCCTATATTATCGACTCAAGCTATCGAAAGAGCGCTCTTTCTAGTATTTTTTTACCGTCAATCTCAACTACTTCTTCGTCGCTACTCGTATTGTCACTAAATTTGCATTCTATATACTCTGACTTAATCCAGCTAATTTTAAAACCTTTAGATTCTAAAACATCCCTCCATAGCTATAACTTTATGTTGACGTTGTTTCAGGTCCCATCGATCAAAACTATGTTATCCGCGAATACACCACAATATTTCATCTTGTACGTGCCTAGTTAAGTCGTCCATAACTAAGATAAAGAGATATAGGCTAAACGCTGACCCCTGATGTAGACCCCTATTAGCACCGAAAACTCACTTGTCTCTCCACTAGTTCACATTAGTTAGTGCTCTCACATATATCTCTCACCAAGTCAATATAATATCTGAAGACTCCTTTCTTTTCCAACACCCACCAAATCAAATCTTGAGGTAGGGGTGACAATGGGTCAGGAAACCGGACCCCGACTCGAAAAAGTATCATAGGACCTAGACTTGGACCTGGACCCAAAAATATAATGTGGAACCCGGATCCGATCCAAATGTTAAAATGCCTATATAATTAAATACATTTCATAAATTGGGAGCCAAAAATATATTGGGACCCAGACCGGGACCCAAATAGTGTTCAGGTCCAAGATTTGAACCTAGACCCGACCCACATGGTACAAATTTTGGACCCATACTGGGACCCGTATCGATTCTAGCTGTCAAGTCCCGAGTCGGGTTAGGGTCCATTGTTACCCCATCATAAGTTTTCTCTAGATCAATATAGACCATGTGGAGATTTTCACTGTTAATTATGAAATCTAAAGCTCCAAAAACGTTGCTGAGAAGCATATTTATAAATATTTGAATTCTTAAGTACGAACAGTCTATACATATTATATTATAAGATACCCTATTTTATGACTTGAAAACTTTTTTTTTTTTTTCTCATGCTCATACATTTGAAGGTCGAGTTAATCAATTTGAGGGTTTCCAGCTTTGATACAGCCTTTCCTTGAGTTTCTGATACCGACTTTCATAGTACAAGATTGATGCCTTACGTGTAAACGTTTTCCAACCATTATGCCTAACATGTATATCTACCTACGCTGTGCATTGGAGACTCGAAGCCACAACAAAGTATTTGCATTGGGCTTTCAGTAAATTGGGTCTGTTTTTATGATACCTGAGCACTTAATTGGAGTTATAAGCCACCTATCCACTGGAGGTCTATTTAAGAAAAATATTTCTACATGGAAAATTTTCAAAGTGCTATTATCTGACGGATCTAATTGAAGCGAAATAGAAGAATATTTGATAGGATTTCTTTAGAGATTGAAGTGGTGAAAGACCGCCTCCTATAGTCTTTATGGGATTGGTTTTCTACCGCTTGTGAAGGTCTTCATGTCTCACGTTTTGATATTTATGTCAATTTAAAGACACTTGTTTCCTCCGTTTTGATATTTATGTCACTTGTTTCCTCCTCCTCCTATATTGGCTGTCCTCTTTTGGTATGCAAGTTGCCCCTTGAAGGATCTCTGAAACTAAACTTTGATTGGAGCTCCTAAGGAAACCCAGGTCTTACAGGTGTAGGTGGTTTGCTCTAAAACCATGAATGGATGGTACTCTTTCTACACTTCGGCTAACCAAGCTGAATTTTGCTCTCTTATGCATGGATTGGAAATTATTATTGGAAGAGGTTTCTCGAGAGATATTTTTATTGTGGGAGATTCTCTTGATGTCATTAAATAGTGTAAGCAAGAGCAGCAGATTCCCTGGTCTCTTCATGGCCTTTGGCTGAAAATTTATGATCTTTGTGCTTCCCAGAGGCTTCCGTTCTCGTTCTCCCACATCTATGGTGAAGCCAATGATGTCACAAACAGTCTTGCTAAGCATGGGGTGTCTTTATCTTCTTTACTTATTTCTAGTTCTTTAATTCTTCCCTTGTAATCTGATGATGTTTAAGCCCATAACATCGTAAAAAAAGAAGAAGTCACAACCCAGTCAAATACAAAAAGACACCAAGTCGACATTCAAATATTGTGAATGACCTAAGTTCTCTAAGACATATACCGAACAATTAAGGTTTTTCCCAACTCTAAGGTTTGCATGAGTTAAATTCTCAAAGGCTAAATTTTCCAATTTCCAATAGTCACACAGACTTAATGGCAAAACTATAGTTAAAGGAATTGTATAGTAGTATGTAATAAGGTTGAGGATCTTAAACTTTCTCTTAACCCGTCTCAAGTCTAAGTAGAGGAAGTAGGTTATGTTAAGTAAGTAACTAATGTAAAATTTTGTCAAAACTTTCCATGAATCCTGAATATACATTGTTTGTTTGTGCTAAAGCATTCCCCATATACGATACGCTGCACCAGAACCCAGGTACAGTGAGAAATGAACAAGAGTTAGCTAGGGCATTTCTCAAAAGCAACGTGCCGTAGTACTGCCCGGTTGAGGTGAAAAATAGGCAAGGGTTCCCACAATATTTTGGACGAGAGCGTGTAAATAAGCTAATATATGATAATATGAGCTGACCTCAAATAGTTGAGAAAATAGTCTGATGACGATGATAAGAAGGTAACAATTACTTGTACCGGTTAGATCTCAAATTGGTCAGCTTGAGTTATGTCATGGTGTTTGAGAAACTTTCTTTTAAACTCGGAGTCTAGTAAATGACCATTTTACAACCATTCGACTTGAAATCAAATGGATAAGAGTGATTTTGACGTTCTTATATTAAAATAAATGGTGTCTTCGTACTAATTA